TTTTTTTTCATTTTCTTGTAAACTAAACCCCACTTCACAAAATCGTCTCTTTGTAAATTGTAAAGAAGAAAAAAGGCAAAATAAATAAAAAAAACCCCATTTTTGTTGTCACTTTACAAGAAGAAGAAGAAGGAAAAAATTCTGTCTTGATGAGTGAGAGAGGAGGCTCTCTGTGAGAAGAGAGCCTGCCTGTTCATGCAAACAATTAAAAACCCCAACTTTTTTATTCCAATCAAGAAACTATTTTCACTTGTGGGGGTTTTTTTTTTTCTGATATATTTTGTGTTGGAATTTAAATGGCCCTTTGTTTGCACAGAGAGAGCAATAGTAGTGGAAGCAATAATAGCAGCAAGCAGCAGCAGCAAATGGATGCTGGGAAGTACGTGAGGTACACGCCCGAGCAAGTGGAGGCTCTTGAGAGGGTTTATGCTGAGTGCCCAAAGCCCACTTCTTTGAGGAGGCAGCAGCTCATCAGGGAGTGTCCCATTCTTTCTAACATTGAGCCTAAGCAAATCAAAGTGTGGTTTCAGAATCGAAGGTTAGTGTGTGTGTGTGTGTGTGTGTGTGTGTGCACCCTTATTGAACTAGAACCCTTATCTCCCAACTGGGTAGTGTGTGTGTGTGTGTGTGTGTGTGTGTGTGTGCACCCTTGTTGAACTAGAACCCTTATCTCCCAACTGGGTAGTGTGTGTGTGTGTGTGTGTGTGTGTGTGTGTGTGTGACTGTGAGTGTGTAGTTGTTTTAACTTTTTATGCATCTCTGTGTAAGATTCTAAGATGGTGAAAGAGTTTCTGCTGGATTGATTTTTGAGTTTGGGACTTGTTGTTTGCACATTTTTGGTTGCAAGACAGGATTTTTCTGGGTGCCCTTTGGTTCTTTTTTTGTTCTTGTTCAGTTTTTTTTCACAGATTTTGCCTTTTTCAATTTATGTCTTGTTTTTGGTATATCTGAAGAATGTGGGTTGTGTTGGTTGTGCCTTTTATTGGTCCTTTATATTGGTTTAGGCGCTTTTGACTTGTTTGTGTTAGTATATAAGTAATCAGTCAGTTTATTTGTCTTTCTTGAAGGCAGTCTATTTCAGTAAGCTATTGTGTATATGTGCAGGCTTTACTCTCAGATTTCCATTAATATTAGACATGGAGTTTCAATTTCTGATTCAGACAAAAGTATATTATTCATATTGACAGCTAACTATGTTATTTTATTTGATCCTTCTGAAAGAAATACCTTTCGATTCTTACGAACCTAACGGTTAATCGTTTTCTTTGTAAATATCATTATCACTTAGACTAGATGTAAACTAATGCTTTATGCAAAGCTTAAACAACCACCATTTCTTACGAACCGAGAGATTTTTGACTTGGATTTTCTTTAATAGATGCCGTGAGAAACAGCGGAAAGAATCCTCTCGTCTCCACTCTGTTAACAGAAAACTGACTGCCATGAACAAGCTGCTAATGGAAGAAAATGACCGATTACAAAAGCAGGTCTCGCATTTGGTTTATGATAATGGCCACATGCGCCAAAAGCTACACACTGTAAGTTTGTATAACTTGCTTTTTTACCTCCTGTTTTCTGGTGTGTACTTCATTTTTTGGTTTAGCTAATAATATTTCCTTTTTTCTTTGGCATTTTATACTCTGGGACATCAGGTGAACAAGACTACTACTACTACTACTGATACAAGCTGTGAGCCGACCGTAAAGAACGGTAGGCAAAAACAGCAAAACCCAACACATCAGCATCCTCAGACAGATGCTAATAGCCCAGCTGGGTAAAATTTTATCTTTGTCCCATTTTCATTATAGTCTATTCAAAATACACTTTCCCTGTAAAAATGTTGATTATAGCCTCAATCATTTGTCTTATTTATTATTTATTATTATTATTATTATTATTATTATTATTATTATTATTATTCTTTTGTTTTAGTCTCCTTGCTGTTGCTGAGGAGACCCTGACACAGTTCCTTGGTAAGGCTACTGGAACTGCTGTCGATTGGGTGCAGATGATTGGGATGAAGGTTCGTTCGTTCACTCTCTTTTCCATTTTCCTTTTTTTTTTTGGCTTTCATTCGGTTACTTATTTCCATTTCACACTGTCTACGTTGATGTTTAAATTTTAGTTTTGAATTTAATGTCTTTTTCTTATGTGGGACTTAGCCTGGTCCGGAATCTATTGGCATCATTGCTGTTGCCCGCAACTGTAGTGGAATAGCAGCAAGAGCCTGCGGCCTCGTGAGCCTTGAGCCCACAAAGGTGATATGACAAATTAGATGATTTTCTTTTATGTTTTTAAACTGGAAAAAAAAAATCTATCGAAATCTAGTTTTTGGACTCTGTTTTTTAATTAATAAGTGACAGGTTGCTGAAATATACAAAGATCGAATGTCTTGGTATCGTGATTGCCGGTGCCTTGATGTGGCGAGCATTATCCCCACAGGAAATGGGGGTACAATCGAGCTTATATATATGCAGGTTTGTTCATTTGTCTTGTAATTTTAACTATTTTTAAGTAACGTTGCTTTGTGAAGAAGTTTACTTGCGGTCTTGTTCTAAACATGCATTTTATTTTTCTTCCTTAGACTTATGCGCTCACAACTTTAGCATTGGGTCGTGATTTTTGGACTCTAAGATATACTACCACTTTGGAAGATGGCAGTCTTGTGGTAAAGTACCCCAATAAACCTTCCATTCGAATTTCTTGAAATCTTTGATGAATTATTGGAATTTTAACTGTTGGAATTTTTATGCAGATTTGTGAAAGATCATTAACTCCATCGACTGGCGGTCCAATCGGACCTAACTCTAACTGCTTCGTAAGAGCTAAAATGTTACCTAGTGGTTGTTTAATACGTCCTTGTGAAGGTGGTGGCTCGATTATCCACATTGTTGACCACATTGACTTGGATGTATGTACTCATTAAACTATTTTTTCCTTAATTGGGATTAAAAAAGATCACTGTTTTTTTTTTTTTTTTT